TCCCTACAACAAAGCATTGCCAGGTAAAGTTAAAAATTTGTCATACTCTACTGGACAACATAACAGGCATATTACAGATGATATAACAACCCAAAAATCCTCCAGTACTCTGGAAAAATAATAAGATTTCAAAGCTGTCATCTTTCATTCTGTGAAAAACACTCAAGACAACTCAAAAACTAAGTTCCTGAGAGCAGGATTTACCTTTCAGTCAGTCGTTTCTTCACAATTTCCAAGTTCACAGGTGGTAGAGAAACAGGGGGATCAAACTTTGATTTAGCTGGTTGAGACTTATGAAGGGAAGCATCATCATAAGTTTCCTACAAGAATTTTAAGTGTTAATTTTTAATACACCAGATACACAAGTTTTTACTCTGCAGCTCTACAGATAAACAAGATGTATCATTCGAGTACACAAGGTATATGATATAAAGATACATATTTCAATCATCAAATTAAGTACAGAAAATGTTGTACAGAAAAGTACAACACAAAAGCAAGGAAAACTGAAAGTATAAAACACTGCATATATCCATCATATAAAAACATACAGTGCATACACATATAAACAGCACAAAGTAATCCATAATTTAGGATACATTTAAGTTGCTGTCTTGGTCTGAAAATATTAACAGCTTTCAATAATGCAAAACGCTTCTATACTGACAGCTGAGACTTCACTGGTATCAAGGTTCTAAGTACAAAATGTAGACATAAACTACAGCCAAGCAGTGATGATAACATCTGATTTTACTAACATCTTTTTAAAAACTATTTTAATATATTTATGATAAATTATTTGCCATCTATCAGTCATTTAATGTTCTATTTTCTCATAGTAAACTTCCTGATTCCTCACCCCCAATAAATATGAATGCTGGCTTCTGACAAAGCCAGTGGCCAGAAGACAGATTTTTCAGGCTGACAACTTAGCTCAGCTGCAATTATAACTAAAAAAGGATTCCAGTGAATTTTAGCTCATAAATTAAAAGACTCTTTGCATTCTAAAACAGTAAAAGTTTGTATATTAAAATCTAACCAAAACAGTCATCTGAAGCAGTGAAGTCCATGACTAACAAGGTCTGCTACTAAAAATCGTTGCAGCTTCCTGAACAGTAGAAATTAACAGTTTTCTAGAAGACTATGAGGACCTAAGAACACCAATCATACTGGATTTGAAATTCAGAAGCAGAAAGATGTAACTTCCTCCCAGTCCTCTAACTACTCCTGTTTAAAAGGTAAAAATTTCTACAATTTTCTATTCTGACATAAAGAACTGGTTATTCAGATTTTCCTAGTCTGATCCAGAGTAGGTGATTCAACCCAGAAACAGAATTTCCAGCTCATTAGAAGATACACAGTTTATTTTTGCCAATTATTCACCAGGAAAAAAAAAAAAAAGAATTCCGCTGAACTGTGAAAAGAGCTCTCAGATTGCCACCCAACAGAAATCTAGCATAATAAAAGAATAATTTTTGCTTTGTGGCTTTTTAGCATTTGTATTATTTGCATATTCTTGCTTTCAAGATTCCTTGCATGGCACCAAAAAAAAAAAACAAAAAACAACCAGGGTTCAAAATTTTATTTTCTGCTTTTCACAGTGTTCCATCACATACGGATACCTGCCTTTGAGGTAGACAACACTACCCTGCTTCTATACAGTTGGACAGATATTACAGATTTTCATTATCATCCTCCCATATTTCTAATCATCTTTTCCCTGAAGAATCAGGGTATAACTTCCTAAAAACCCTTCTAATGAGAGGGCAGGAAGGAGGTATGACAGCAGTCCAGACAAGCTCTTGCCTATGAACAAAAAGCAGCTTCCAATGGTTAGGAAAGCACGTCTCACCTGAGAGATTTTAACTGCTTTCTTTATTTGCTGTTCTTCCCACATAATTTGTGCTTCATCTTCACTTGATTCATCACCCACAGACACTAGAAGTTAAAACAATCATTATCAGATGTAATTACATCCTTTATTTTTCCCTCCCATCTTCTCTTCCCTCCAAAGCAACAATGGTTCTCCCAATCATTACTGGGAAGTGATACACACAAAAAAACAGCAGATGAAAAACCTGCAGATGGAGGACTTCCAAACTCAAAAGCAAGGAAGGCTTGGAAATGGCTAGTGGTATTCGTAGAATTCACACCAATATTCATTTCCCCAACGTATCGTTTCTCAGACAACTACTACTGCAGTATGAGGAGCACAAACATCTCGTTTTTATGTCTCAAAGCAAAGCTGTGTATAATACATATAAATAAGAGTATAAGTACAGACTACAACACAGTGAGTGACATTATACATAGCAAATTCTTGAGTGTTGCAAAATGTACACTCTACTATAGATACAAAAATATTCCATTAACATTAATCAGAATTGCAGAATCAGCTCATAGTTATGCATTCCTTATAACCTTCATTCAAATAACAAAGTAAACCAGTGCTTCATAAACAAAACTGTAAGTAGCTATAAGAACATAAAAGCAAAGGAAAAGCCAGATATGCTTTGCGTGCAATGGGTTTGTTCGAAGGGTCTGAAGGGCTGGGTTGTTGGGTTTTTCTACCTTTTTCAAGAAGAGTCATAATGTCAATGCAGGGAGAGCACTCAGAAGACTGGACCAGAAGGAGGAGGCAGGATTTATAGCAACTTTAATCACATTAAATGCTGTGCCTCCTACAAAGCAATTTTTTGCAGTCAACAAAGCCAAAAAAACTTTTTTAGATGTTTCTCAAAGCATCCTGCACCACCACATTAGCGAGACCTGAACCAGGTTAACGTCCCATATAAACCTCAAGTACCAGCAGTACAGCCTTTTGCCAAGACCTGTGAGGAGCAAATCATTGTACTGCACTCACCCCTTACTAGACAAGTCCCACATTCTTCCAGACATCAGTAAAACAAAGCCACAGCCACGGGGACAAATGGCACAAACTCACCCACATGCTCAGTCATCCTCTGCCTAAGAGTTCTCATTTTAGGAACAAAATTGAGATGCTTCATGTCAGACTCATCTTCACTCTCTAAGTCACTGCTTTCTCTTCTCCGAGAGACCTGATGACTGTTTGAAACATCCAGTGGAATATAATCAGCTCGTGTCCTGGCTAAGTGACGTTTCCTCCGAGCAGCCTCAATACAAGCTGCTCTGGGTATATTATCTGCATTGAAGAGAAAGAAAATCTAAGCAAAAGACTAAAAGCAAGACTCTGTATCACTCCTAATGTCATCTAATATCAATAATCATCACAGTTCCGGATCACTGTACGATTCTGGATATAGGATACAAGACATTTTTCTATTAAGCTTACCATGTTGAATATAAGGAGATGGAAAAGCATCTTTAAAAAGTGGCGCTCAGTCTAAAAACAAGGCTCAGACTTTTTTCCTTTAAATAAATTGCTATTCACCTGTTGTCCTTTTGTCTGTCTCCCCAACACATGATGGTTACTAAATTTAGTGAGTTTATAAAGAAATCCAAAGTTTACAAATCAGCACAAATGAGGTTATATTTCAATCTCATGAAGGGAATTGCTCATCGTTAAACAGGAATTTTTTGCTGCCTTTCTTCCAAAACCAACAGTCATAACGTCTGATCCATTTCCAAAATTCACACAGAAATACAACAAACATCTGCAACCAAAAATATTGGGGAATCGTCACTATTCTTGCAGATGGGTAGCCCTGACTCAGCACAAACAAGATGCCTGCACCTTACAGGATTTAAGTTAAGCGGGATTCACGTCACCTATCTTGCCATGTACTTCAAACAAAAAACGTTGTAAAATAACTTCCTTAAAAAAGAATCCAGAAAACTAACCTGGTGATAAATCCTTCCTCCTCTGTGGAGAGCTGGATTCATTCTCAGAATCTGAGCTGTTGTAGTCCTCACTTAGTGAAGAAAAACTTTCGTCCTCCTTTTCCTCCTCTTCTTCACAAGTGCCTTTGGCGTTGCCAGTTCTAGGCTCCAACTGACAGATTTCTGTATTAGGAGGAAAAAGGTAAGATTCATAATTTCAGTATCAGCTGCTGAAATGTGATGTGTCATAATTGGTTACCAGTAACTACTTACATCTTGCTGCAGCAAAGACTGGTTGCTTAACTATCTCCACCTGTCCTCAAACCATGTCAAATTTTTTGCCATTTCGAGACAGTCATTTACAAGCCAGTTCTTGTCTCGAATCAAAGCATTTGTGATAGTCCTAACCTAGTATGTCCTTCTGAGACACAGAGCAAATTTCAATGCACAAAAGCAATGATATGAGCTCCCAGACGACAACTGATAGCTCACAGCACATTTGGATTCATCTTCCTTGACTTTATAAACTGTATTTAGAAAGTGCTTTTTTTTTAAGCATTAACAATGAGGAAGTCCTTATTTAAACTATAAAGGTTTATGTACATCTGTTTTGTCTCTGATCATCTTCAAATCCTTTAAAAACATTAATTTCTCTTCATCTGCCACTACATCTTCGGTAAATCATCAGATTACTGAACAACAGAATGTGCCACCTTTTATAAGAGTATGAGGTATACTTTTATAAGAAATTACTGAGAAAATTTACCGTCTCTTCTGAATCACAAAAGGAATTATTTCTCAATCTAATTTATTTTTATCTAACAGTAGCAATTAGGGTATATCTGTGAACTGTGACAGATGTATCAAAAGGGGAATAGAGGGGAAAAGAACTTTTAGACACACTTGTATGCAAAATAAACAAACCTCAAATATCCCAACAAGACACTTACTATAGTTCAATGAGACTAGGAACACTACCAGAACAATGAAGGCTATTGACTGTATTCAATTAAAGTATTCAAATGCCGTAATAGCACACAGCTTAATAACACAAAGTTTATGGTTTACATTAAGTTTTATCAGACAAAATGCTGCTAAGCTTACACTTTCTCTTAATGCAAATATTCAGATCAAACCAATCTGACAGCAACAAGCAGTGGATAGCTGCCCCACAGTTTGAAAGATATGACACTGAGGTGTAAGTTTATCAGAAGTTTATTAACTCTGATGTACTACAAGGATTCTGCATAACAGGTCTTCTCAAGAACAGCCTCCAAGTTCTGATACTGTTTCACCAAGGTCATATGGAAAATAATTTCAGCATGAATAAATTAAAATTATAAAGCTGTACAGTAACAATATAGGTATAATCCTGGGTTCAATTAATAAGCAAAAAACACCTAACAGCAGCATTTGTACATCACTCTTCAGTTACCAATTTTGTAGTATGTTTTCATATAAGTATTCCATGAAATATTTAACTGAATAAAGTACTTACTTTTGCTTTCTTCAATTTCTGTCTGTGCAGGCGGCAGGCTTTCTTTCTTTTGAACTCTAAAGGTTACTTCATTGAAGGATGGCTTTTTAATTTTAAAAAATTCTTCACCTATCCAGGTAAAACAAAATAATTCTGAGTAACATTAGCAAAGAAAGCAGTACATGTGCATATATGTATCTGTATTACATATAAACTGCATGTAATCTCTATGTGTATACAGCATATTTTTTGAACTTGTGGCTGCATTAAGCCTAACTAGTTCTACAGCTTTATCACTCAAGATCCATCATCTCTTAATTTAAAACTGTGCAGTTCAGCCTCCTCAAGCAGCAACACCATACTGTTGAAATGTACTGTTTCTTCGCAGTTTGTGTCCAAAGTGACTCCTGTAACTGCCCTGATCTGTCTTCTGTCATCAGCCACAAAAGCAACAGCCCAGAAGTAAACCTTTAAGCTTCAGCTATTTAAGCTTGTTCACCATTAACTATCCTAGTCATGGAATCACATACTACTTGTTTTCTCCAGCTCTAAGGAGCTTTCAAATGCTTCCCAGCCAAAAGCACATGGCCATTTATAATCTTCAAAGTGCTTTTATATGGGTTTCTCTTATAAATCCTCACAACAGCCCTATCCATAACACAGTAGGGCTATTTTTTGTTTACAGAGAAAGAGGCATAAAGGTGACTTGCGGCTACCCGCGCCACCAGCCCGGGGCCGTACGCGGGGTGGGGAGGCGCAGCCT